GCAAAACATTTTGTAGTATTATAGTACAAAGGGAAATTTGAGTCCAGTACTTCCAAATTTCTCTATTACATGCATACATGTACAGCAACATTCACCAAATTTCATCAAAAATACAAAGAGGGAATTTTATCAATTTTACAATGTTTTCTGATACACATACATGTACTTATGTTGCGTAGAAACTTTGAGCTGATTCCATTCAAATTAAATTTTTAAATAAATTTTTAAAGTTATTGCAAATGTCATGTACTGCGCTGTGGTGCTAGTTGGCTCACAAAGCTCATGCTGTTTAGCTCACTTAGCATACTTTGTGGGAAACCCTGTTTAGACTATACATGATTGATAACTTTGGAACCTCAAGGACATACATGTATTGTATATCAAGCCTGAGATAATTCATGTACACGCAAAAAACTTCATCTTGTTTACAATTATAATTACTACCATAGACAAGGTACTATGGGAATACAATTCTAATAACATTCCTATGCACTGCTGATAGACATGCAATAAAAAAACTCAAACTACATGTGTGTATCACAACATTGTAAAAACAAACTTACATTTTTCAATTGTTGCTACTCAATGAACATTAATTGGCAAGGCCTAGATATTTTTTCCTGCTAAAAATTCACTTCATACAGGCACAAGATTACATGATAGGCAAAGCTATACTGATACAGGTACAGTTACACTGTATGAGACCCAAGCAATATCACAATTACTGTACTGGGATCGAAACAATAAGATGTTTGCCAGGGATCTCATCAAAAGTCATTAGGATTTCTACATGTAGATAGACCCCACTCTGTATTAAGCATGGCAATTCATGCCGCAATGGGTTTGAAGATTCAGAAATTAATGTAATTAATTCATGAATACTATTAAACAATCATCTACACGTACATTACTATTATTTGGATTACCACAAAATGAAAGTGCCAATGGTACGATGCAGTATTTATGTATATATATACAGTAACCCAATTATGAACCCCAATGTCAGGCAATTTTATTAAACTCAGCAGAATCATTATGCAATGACAGACATTATGCAACTAAAGGGTAATATCTACTTACCTATGACTGAGCTGCCTAATGCAAAGACGATGACAGGAGCCTGTGAGTGTGAGCTGTGTGAGTATATCAGGAGCTGGTTTCAGCAGACATTTTGCTTTAATAACCGTTATTACTATTTGCCCTGCCTACTTTTTCTATTGATAACAAGCCTCCACAATAGCCTTGGACAAATTCCAGGAAATACTCGACCTATCTCCGGACAACTGACTGGTTAATAAATGCGAAGCGGGTGAACTATGGTGATGTTGGGTGTGTGTGTTCCATAATCTTTATCATTATCAATCGGATTACTAACGGTCCTTTTAATATTATTATTGGTACAGAGAACCAGTATTACACTGTATATACATAAATACTGCATCGTACCATTGGCACTTTCATTTTGTGGTAATCCAAATAATAGTAATGTACGTGTAGATGATTGTTTAATAGTATTCATGAATTAATTACATTAATTTCTGAATCTTCAAACCCATTGCGGCATGAATTGCCATGCTTAATACAGAGTGGGGTCTATCTACATGTAGAAATCCTAATGACTTTTGATGAGATCCCTGGCAAACATCTTATTGTTTCGATCCCAGTACAGTAATTGTGACATTGCTTGGGTCTCGTACAGTGTAACTGTACCTGTATCAGTATAGCTTTGCCTATAATCTTGTGCCTGAATGAAGTGAATTTTTAGCAGGGAAAAATATCTAGGCCTTGCCAATTAATGTTCATTGAGTAGCAACAATTGAAAAATGTAAGTTTGTTTTTACAATGTTGTGATACACACATGTAGTTTGAGTTTTTTTATTGCATGTCTATCAGCAGTGCATAGGAATATTATTAGAATTGTATTCCCATAGTACCTTGTCTATGGTAGTAATTATAATTGTAAACAAGATGAAGTTTTTTGTGTGTACATGAATTATCTCAGGCTTGATATACAATACATGTATGTCCTTGAGGTTCCACAGTTATCAATCATGTAGTCTAAACAGAGTTTCCCACAAAGTATGCTAAGTGAGCTAAACAGCATGAGCTTTGTGAGCCAACTAGCACCACAGCACAACATGACATTTGCAATAACTTTAAAAATTTATTTAAAAATTTAATTTGAATGGAATCAGCTCAAAGTTTCTACGCAACATAAGTACATGTATGTGTATCAGAAAACATTGTAAAATTGATAAAATTCTCTCTTTGTATTTTTGATGAAATTTGGTGAATGTTGCTTAGAGCTGTGAACCGGTTTTAGGTTAACCGGTTAACCGACTGGTTACAGCATAATTTTAGGTTATCAGTTATTTTTAGCTATAACCGGTTTTATGAAATTAATGATTTTATGCACTGTGAAGTTAAAATTTATCATATTTCAGGCAAGAACACTTCCAATATCTAGTAAATTGACCTTTGTGACCCAAAAGACAATGCCATATATCATTGAAAAGAGCATATAAATTGTGTTGGCCAACTAAATCAAACCCTACAATTTATTATTTATCGTAATTCTTGCTATTCTTACTTATTTATAGTGGTATTATTAAGTTTCATTTAACAATCAGTTAACCGATTAACCGTCAGTTATTGGTGACCAGTTAACCGGTTATGCTAAGTGGCCCAGGTTCACAGCTCTAATGTTGCTGTACATGTATGCATGTAATAGAGAAATTTGGAAGTACTGGACTCAAATTTCCCTTTGTACTATAATGCTACAAAATGTTTCGCTCAATTTTTGAGCAAATTAAAAATTGATAAAATCTAAATTTTATCTCAATTGGCTCAAATTTTCTATGCAACATAAGTACATGTATATGCATCAGAAAAAATAATAAAAATTGAAGAATTCTCTCCTTGTCATTTTTGATTAAATTTGATCAGTGTCCCTGTATATAGTACAGGGTGTTTGGCTCAATTTTTGAGCAATTTGACAATCCATTGACAAGAACCTGTATCAGGACTATGCCAAATCTGTTGAGGAACCCTGACTCTAAGCATTATTGGCAATGTTATATTGGTTTATAATAAACAATTCTTCTCTTTCCCAATGCATGTATGTATTGTTAATAGGTATTGCATATTTCTGTCTTCTCATGTTTGTGTTCCTTGACTCCTGTCCTTGTGCATCTTTGTCTCTTTTCTCTCCAAAGCCTTTCTCTCCTCCTCATACACATGTACGCATATGTCTAACTTTTGCTCTTTCTCGTTCCTTTGCTAGGTCTCTCACATGTCTTCTCTCTTTCTTGTGTTAATACAGTTTTAGTATCAGTAAGCAACTGTAAAATACCATACACATACATTAATGTATACAAACATTGTTGTTATTATTATTATTATTATTATTATTATTATTATTTTATAGTACATTGGTATATTACAGACATTGTCACTTGCTGCAATGTGGGAACAGGAATGCAAATAAAATGCTAAAGAAATTGTAACAGTAAGACACAATGCACACTATAGTGCTCTTGTGTACAGTGCATGTACTGAGAGTGAGAGGGAGTATAGTGTCTTATTGAATCTATGTACATTTGATTATTTAGGATATGTCCAACAAAGTAACATTAATGCTGTGTTGCATTGGCTGAAGCATAATGATGGTAAGTGATATGTAATGTACATGTATTTAAGTCAATGGATTCCTGGGTAATTGTAATGATAATTGTCACAGACCTACATGTATGACACTGATTCAATTAATTGAGTAAAGCACAGGTACATATACATGTGCATGAATGCCATTGCCACTATGTCTCAAATAAACAAATTATCACAGCCATTACCATTACTGAAAATCATTACTTTTCTAATAAATTTGAATTACCATTACAATTCATTGCTATGCACCTCTCTTTCTTTCTACCCTTTTTCTTTCTTTAGTGCCTCAATCTTGCAATGTACCTCTATCTTGCAATGGACCAAGGTACTACTGATGTCATCACATAATGAGTCTTACATAATTCAAGTAAGCTCCAGTACATATTTCCCTTGTTATGTTTCTTTTCTGTGGTTTTAGGACAAAGGCGTCAAGACAACACTAAGACTAAAAACTGATATATTAAATTATTGTGTTTTTTATAATTATTATTGTTCAAATGGAATATTTGGCACTGTGCAGCAAATGACCTTCGGTAAGCAACATGAAGCATAAAAGTGCAAATGAATTATTGTTGTACCATACATTGTCAGTTGTATTCTTGTATGTTATTTTTTTGATTTAAATTGCCAAAAAATATTTTTAAATATAATTATTTGTTACTACTATATATGCAGCAAAGGCATGCAATATGAAGCGGTTCATGAGGCAAGGTCCTTTGACATGATACACTCCAAAGATCAGAGATGTAGCAATACACAAGTTGCATAATGATCAATGATTTTTTCAAGTATGTTAGCAGTGCAATCCTGACTGTTGTGCATTGGAGTAATGAGAAAAGCAACAATAACTTCACACAGTAAGCTCAATAAAATCATTAAAAATTATATTTTTTATCTTTAGTTTGGCTAATCTTGGTATTTATGCTGCAATTGGAATTATACAATTTATGTGTACTTCATTTACTTTTTTGGCAACAGTTTTAGGAGCAATTAAAGCTTCAAGGAAATTTCATAATGGAATGTTGCATAGCATACTTCGATCACCATTGTCATTCTTTGATACAACACCTCTTGGAAGACTAATAAATAGATTCTCAAAGGTAATGCATCATTTCCAGTAGAACTTTATAGCTATTTTAAACAAAGGATATTGAAGTTACTGATGAAAAAATGAACATAGATTTACAAAAAATATTGTTATCACTTTTTGCAACTACTTGTAACATTATTAGCATTTCAGTGGTTTCACCGTGGTTCCTCATAGTTGTAGTGCCAATAACAATTGTTTACTTAATTGTCCAGGTATTGTTCATATCTAATTGATTTAATGCCACACTTAATATTAGCGTTTCTACATTGCAACTTCAAGACAGTTGAAGCGACTGAGTATTGATGGTATCTCTAGCATTAGAGCTTATAATGTTGCTGAAAGGTTTCGGTTACAATTTGAATTTTATGTAGACAGTAACCAAGCTGTTTTGTATTTCAGTGAAAATGCTATTATCAGGTAGAAACCTATATGATATACCTTATGCAATAAATTTTGAAATCATAGGTGGTTGTCAATTCAAGTTGATTTCATTGGTGCACTAATTTTATTTTTTGCTGCTTTATTTGTTACTGTTCAACGCAATTATCCACATATTTTTGGATTAATTGACCCTGGTTTAGCTGGAATGTCACTGAGCCAAGCATTTATGGTTAGTAGTACTACATTGTTCATTGATTAATGTGTATAACCTCTTTAATACTATCAGGTCACTTTATATTTATCTATGGCTCTAAGAACATCAAGTGATTTGGAAAGCAGTTTAGTGTCTGTTGAAAGAATCAAAGAATATCTAGACTTACCTAACGAGGTGACTAACAATGCAATCTGGGAATAAAAAAATTCATACTATGATAGCCTCCTGAAATTATTCTTGACAACAGACCAAATCCTAAATGGCCAGAAGATGGTAGCATCCAATTTAATAAATATGCTACACGCTATCGTCCAGGACTTGATCTTGTACTAAAGAATGTATCATGTTACATACCTGGTGGTCAAAAAGTCAGTCGGACTCAATGCTTATTTGTGACCCATATCATTTTTACTTAAGTTAATCAAATTCCGCAGTAAATCATACGATTAGGAATATTTTGAGCTAATTTTTGATTAAAATTTGAGTTATAAGTAGAAGCTTTAAATTTTTCATTTGAATCAGTATTGCAGTGAGTGTAGTGTTGACCATATGCAAGCATGAAAGTGTCAGTTGATGATCCTGTTAGATATGTTTACAAACTTATATAAGGCTCTAATAATTAGATTACTTACATTTATAGGTTGGTATTGTTGGTCGCA